CATTTACTACAATGGTGTATATGAGTTGACAGTAATAGCGATCACAGATTTATGTTTGTAAACTGGATGTCCAGTGTGCTCTTATTATAATTTTGCGTAATGAAGGACAAAAATACTACGAATCTTCGAATCTCATTAAATCTGAAATTCACTTAACTGAATGTTATGCATCTGATTAAAGTTTAAAGTCCCTTACATACAGCTCAGAATTATTTTTCTGGTAAGCGTTTTTTTTAGCGAGTTAGTTTTCTGCAGGATGGGGACGCTAACCCCATGAACAACGCTCCTCATTTACCCGGGCTTGTAACCGGCAGTAACTCTAGAAGAGCTACAGGCGGAGTTAAAGCTCGGCACCGATGATAAAACATTTGATTACAGCATGGAAACTTTGGGTGGTAATATAGGTTTAATGTAGTCATAGAAAGGGAGAGCACAATCATCGTCATCTGAGACTACATATAGTTCATCAATTTTATAGTTACTCCGAGTATTAGATTAACGGCGAAGTCGTGCTCAAATTGGTGATATAATTGATTACTACAAGCGATGCAGTTCAACCTTGTCCTACTGCGAGGCTTCCAAAACAATACGTTCCGTCACAAAAACTAACAATAATAACAATGATATATTTCTACATGAGCAGGTACACGCCATTTTTACAGGCATAATCTATAAATTACAGCATTTGTTGGCTCACAGCATCCTTCCCAACTTACTAGGTTTATAGTTGTTCTAAAGCAGACTCGTAGAGTGCTTGTTGTAAACCATGACCTTGAAGAGGCGCGTACGTCAAGTTTGTTCCAGACGTCAAATGTTCCATAGCCGTGCCCTCAGAGCAAGATTCTGAACAAAAAATAAGAGAAACAGAAGAGTAGCAAGGCACTTGGATATGAAAGCCAAATGTTGCTTAATATTTTGTAGTAGAACAGACAGAGGTATAATAAATTAGATTAAATTCATATTATCTATTGTTAGAGTGAAATGAAGTCAGAGGCTCCATATAAGAGAATGTAGTTATAAAGAACAATGAGTTATGATGTTTAACAAGTTGGAGTAAGCTCACATGAAGGAAGGGAAGTCAAGGTTGGTACAAGGAAAGCGGTTTATTAGAAGAGAGTGTGAATAAAGGGAGTGAAGTGTTAAGAGTACTAATAACTATACCTTTTGTTGTCTAATTTTTTCTTTCTTTTCCTTATTGTCCATCCGATGCCAGCCAAACAATTCTAGTGTCAAAGTCCGAGTTGGCATGTTATAGGTTGTCTTAGTATAATAGCAGATCCAGAATAAAATTGGAACCATTAGTCTGAGTGATGAGCGTATGAAGACAATCTATATCATAGATTGACTGACTTATTCTCAATCATAAAGAGCCTGATACATACAACTACATAAAATTTGTTTTTTATCGAGAATTCATTTTACTGGTAATACAGCCATTACGCCTTTTAATCCAGTAACGTGCCTTTGAAAGGATTATAAGGGGTGTTTCAACTGAAAGAAAACAAAGTTTTACTGACTAACTTGGTGTAGCCGTTTACTTCCAACGATTAAAAACAACCGCGATAACACCCAGATCTCACAGAGACACCAGAGTATGACTTTTAATCCACAATACCAGGAAGGATAGAGACTGTTATTTGAAAATAAATTATCGCAATGATGAAACAAAGGTTCACTCGCGGTGACTTATAATGAAAAACTAAGTAGTTTTGATATAAAAACACGGCATTTTCCTCGCAACATTTCAAATATCTATATAATATCAAACTGCTTTTAGTCTTTTAGGACTCAATTCGTATAGTCATTCATCTATTTGTTGCCAGAATTTCGGGTTGTTTCCTCTGGTTGGTTCGCGAAACGATCCTTTAAAACCCTAAAATATTCGCCACAAATGACGTGGACTTACCAGACATAAACATCATAAGATGTACCGCTTAACGTTTTCTGTTCCGTCTTCTTTTTCAGCATCGTAGTCATGCACCATTAAATACACGCCTATAGAGCATACGACTAATTAATACCTCTGATATATTAGACAGACCTATAGCATATTATGTCTTCTGTAGAATTACAACAAGGATACCGAGTAATTTGCCACAATTTTCAACTGGATACCAGAATATTTTTCCACTTTGAATAGTTGCGGAACTCGTTTGGTTTATTTATCGACATCCAGTTTTCGTCGTAATGCAGCTGCTATGAAACGCGCCAGTTGTTAGATTATCCATTCTAGTTTCGCTACCGCTAATCATACTCCTATACAGTTAACTTTATTACCTCGTTCCCATGATTACTGTTTCTTGCAACATATCGGTCAAACTGAACAACTCATTACAGTAAGTCTTGTGACGATTCGAACATAACTGTCTTGTCGGCAAACTGGTGTAATATGTTACTTGAGAATAAATTATTATTGTTATATAGTTATATAATATACCCTTGTGGGCCAGGGTAATTTTAGATTGGTTTTCAGAAGAACCAGACACCATCCGGGCTTTCACATGAAAACCCAAACAGTGCAGCTGAACCCCGTTTATCAGGGGAACCAGACACCGTATAGGCTTTAACGCTACAATCTGAATAGTACAGCTCAATCCTGTGGCGCAACCACACAGATACCAAGCACCTTGATAGATCAAAATTATTATTGTATACATTTTTATTACGGAATTGGATACGCAGTAGTTGAAAATGTTACTGTCTAGATCTTTTCAGTCAGTCATACTCAACATAGAGTCTGAAACAAAGTGGCACAGAGATCAATAGTTATTGAAGTCAATGCTGACATGATCTCATAATATACTTGAATTACAGGTTAAGGCTATGAAGTACATGATTTCTAAGCCACCTGGATCTTAAGACATGCACTACACGAGGTCCACAAACATGATATAGTGCGGACACCTGATCGGTTGCACTGAGCTGAAAGTGCATTCAGTAGGACTAAAATAACCATTGTCATTGTCCAAGACATGTACAGCTATTCATTTTATCGATTATTTATTGCTTTAGTCTACAAAATACGATACAATGTAAGTCTTACAAGAAAAATCCTGGTGTAACACACAAACCTTACAAACAAAGTGTTGAGTACTGCAAAGATCAAGATTTTAAATGGAAATTTTATTGTAATAGACCCACTAAGATGATCAATTTACTCACTAAAAATATAGGAAGATGACCAGACTTTTCAGCTCCAACAAAAGCCTTTCGTCTGTTGTTCTCGTTTACTTATAGTGAAGAAAGTGAAGGTCTCGTATTGTTGATAGATTTGGTCTAGGCTGAAGCGAAGCTAAGAGCTCTTTAAATAGAACAGAATTAAATGAAAGTGCCATCAGAACACCTAAGTTAGGATGGTTGGAGGATAAACAATGAATGAAAAAGTGATTGTTAGGAGGAACAGTGTATATAAATGGATCCAGTAACAGACGAACTTGGGACTAGGAAGCTGACTACAGTCAGGTGAAGCATTCAACATGAGGTGCAGTGAGACCTAGCTACTATGCTAAACGACCATGAAAACCCGTTGAAACACTTGCTGTTTTAATTCCTGAGTGAATTTCTTACTCTTCAGAAGCCTTCTTTATGAAGCGTCTCAAATCACCAAACCTTTAACCATTAGAGTATAGGAGGTTTAGAGGTGACCTTCTAATGGCTTACAGTATCCTCAACACTTCTGGACATCACCTTAAACACTCACTTAAGTTTAGCTCCAACACAAACCTGAGGGGTAACACTCAGAAGCTAGAGACATGTAGTGTGGCGTTGAGTTGCGTTTGACCATGATCACCACTACAGGAAGACTACGTGCTAGTTAACCGATAAGATCCCCCGTAGGCCAAATATCAGAACGCAGTTGATGGCTGTAGTCAAGATGTATTTGTCGGAGATCTCGTGGTATCGAAAGAATACCGAGATCGTGCCAATGGAGTACAAGTGGAACTGTTCAGCAAGCGTAAGTTCGTTCAAGGTCACAATCACCGGAAGACTGTTTGTATTTTGGTACAGTTAAACAAATAAGTAAGGTAAAACAATCCTGTTAGACATTAAGTCCGGCTTTTATCACGTGGTTTATCCACCAATCAAAATACGGCTTATAGTATCTTCACACTGTGTCAAAACCAATGACGTTTGACTGGTATGGGCAGTCTAGCGTCCTTATTGGTCCCATGTCCACCTAGCCCGTCCATTTGAATCCACAACACCGAATACCAGTTTCCAATATGCAAATCGAATCGAATCATTTATTTCAGACATACTGGGTTTATATATCAACCAAACAGACCGCAGCGCACCATAAAACAGGAAATAACATTTGTACACAATAAAGCCAAAAAGTGACTGTGAACATGGGAGGCAGTAGTCAATAAACTGAACATAGCTTAGGAACCGTAAGTCGTACAATAATAAATTATAGGTAAAAAAGAGCTTATAATAAGAGGAATATAAATATACGTAATCTAATTATTGAATAGTTATGCCATAAAAATGTATAGATAATATTAGTCAATTAATATGTCTCAAAAGTTCCTCGTGATTTAATCTTTGCTCGGATATAACAAATCCCTGGTGCAATTGGTTTTATTAATAATTGTTTCCATTACACCAATCGCGTTCTCCTGCTAAAAGTAGGTCACTACAGACACAACACAGCAGAACGGACTGTGGACACAACTTCTACTCCTTAAGAGTGGTCATATGCTGGAATTCTCTACCGGCTGAGCTAGTCCGCGAGACTTCCCAGGAGTCCTTTAAGAGGAAACTTGGCATATTATTAAGGACTAAGAATAGTATCTTAATATGATTTACCGATTTCTTTTTTCCTCTATTATCGTTAATATACCTAGATTCCTGACTGGAGGTATTGGTGAGTCACTTCTACTAGACACGGAAGCCCATTAAGCAAAAGCTTCTACTGTTCCCTTCACAACCATTCGAACCATTTGAAACTCTTGAATCACTCGAATAGTGGCGGGTCATTTAACGTTTCTGCGCAAATTATGGACACACATCGTAGGTCTTTGAAGTGGTTTGCAGGCCAGTCAAACAAACTAAAGGTATCGAATTGTCAAAATAGATATAAGTATGTCAAAGTCAATTCATCATTGTCTTGGCGCCCGTTATCCAGCTCTCTTAAGTGGGATAAATACACATGTTCTAGCTTAACTAGTGCACATGTATTTAAACACAGTCCCTCTAGCATTTATTCTAGATTTAACGGGAGTCAGACATACAACACAAAGATTGGCAAAGATAGACCCTACAATTATGTTAGGAAAGGCGATCACAGGAACGGTAATCAACAATTTTCGACCCCCGTTCCTGACTTCTCACAGCATCAGGATAAATTATTTAGTAGTGAAATTTCTAGTGGTGTGATAAGTCGGGTTCGGGAAAATAATGTTCGTTTGTCACCTAGCAGTAGCAATGTATTGTATACTAAAACAAGTCGGTTTAGGTATGTCAAGCCTGGTAGTTCAGCTAGTTCGGGGCTTGCATCTAAAAATAACTCACAGCTTGTCACGAAGTTTTCCATTAAGAAAATGAACCGGCACAATATACCTCGTCCATCTGCATATCAGTACAAGTATGTCTGCTATTCGTATTGATAATACTTCAGGAAAATTGTCCAGAAGGCTGTGCACAGTTTGAAGTTCCGTCGCCGTATGGTTTGTCAAAGTTACTGCAGGACTGGATTTTGCTCTGCGCAGCAGTGCTCTTACTCTCATGATGAAAATTATCTACGTATCTGCCCAAGGTAGGTTGCACTTCGCTAATTCTATTGGTCCATGTTTTGGCTTGTAAATGAAAGCTGACTGAGTAGTATTTTAGGGACAAGTTTGGCGAAGTCACAATATAGTTCTTATTGTGTGTTAGTAATAATGGTTCTTATTTTGAGCATGAACTACTTCACAACAGAGCTTTGAAACCATATCGAGTTAAGGGATGGGACAGGTTGGAAAGTTAGTGACTAGCGAGTCGATAAACTTGGTACTTAGAGACCACTAAGGTATTGATGTTCATTTTTGGAAAACTGACTTTCAGTATAGTTTCTCATCGCTTTATATATTTGTCAGAATTTAATGATTTAGTAATTCTGCAATTAAAATCTGAAGAGAACTTTCTAAGTGAGACGTACTAACATTCCTACTTATTTTTGTTATAGATGTGTTAATAGAACTGGCTTTATTTGTTAATGGGACGATTTTAGGCGACTTAATGCATGGACATCATGGTTATATTAAATGGAGATTAGTGTATTTGCTATCTAAATAGGGATGTGAATATCTACATAAGTTTAGTATCTGAATTGTGCATAGTATCAACAATGATGTTTCCTACTACCTGCAGCAGAAATATTCTAAATTTTGCGATTGAAATAATTCATGCCGAGCATAAAATAATCGCCTTCGCCAAAGGTGACGTAAGTTGGCAAAAGCCAATCGGGCTTTTCAAATCCGTGCTGAGATTTCGTCAGACGCCAACCCATTAGGGCTGATCAGACTTCCAAGATAAGTGAAGTTGTCAACGCGTTCGACTACTTCACTCTCTATCCTTAGTTCAGGTGTTGATGCAGACCAGTCCTGAAGCAACAACTTGCATTTCGAGGGAGAGAAGCGCATTCCAAACATTTTGGCATTGTTGCTCAGTGCTACCAAAAGACTCTGCATTTTATCAGCGTCTTCACCAAACAGGACTATGTCATCTGCGTATTCTAAGTCGATAAGTGGACCTCCTGGAAGGAGATCAATACCCGAGAATTCAGTCGACGAGAATGTTATTTCAATCAGTAGGTCTATGATGAAGTTGAACAAAGCGGAGAAAGTGGACAGCCTTGACGGACACCACTTGAGGTTGCAAAAGCCAATGACAGTTCGCCATAAGCTCTGACTCGACTGGTAGTGTTCGAGTAAAGAGCCTTCACAAGGTTTATGTACCTCTGAGGTACGCCTTTCAATGACAGACACTGCCACAGAATCTCGCGGTCTACCGAGTCCAATTCTGCTTTTAAGTCAAGAAAGACCACAATTGTCGGACGCCGGTAAGTATGTCTATGTTCTAGGACCTGACGAGTGGTGAATATGTGGTCGATGCAGCCACGACCAGGTCTGGAGCCGGCTAGATTCTCTCGTGTTTGCAGTTCACGAGTCTGATAATTATCGAGGCTAGTATTTTAGATACTATATTAGTTAAACTAATCCCTCTATGGTTGTCACAGGATGATTTTGACCCTTTCTTATATATTTGGACGATAAGTGATTGTGACCAGTCAGATGGGATTACGTCTAACTCCCAGATTTTATCCAAAATATTAGTCAACCTAGTCGCCAAAATTGGACCAACATCCTTAAAGACCTCTGGAGTTAATCCATCTGGACCAGCTGCCTTTCCTCGTTTCAGATTAACCATAGCCTTTTGAACTTCTGCTAGAGTTGGGGGACCTGCTTCAATGTTCCATTCACACTGTCTGGGAATGTAGGGTAGTTGTAGAGTAGCTGAAGGCCAGCTGAACTGTTCTCTGAAATGTTCCGCCCATCGTTCTAAACGTCTGGACTGAGAGCAGATGAGGGTGTCGTCCTTTTCCGAAATAGTCTCACTTACACTTGACTTATTAATCCCAGTTTATTTTAGTTTGTAGAGCTGTCTTGTGTTCCCTATAGCCGCCGCCTTTTCCATCTCTTTTGCTTTCGTTGCCCACCACTGCTCACGGTCGTTCCTTAGACTTTTGATTAAACTAGATCTGATTTGTTGTCGCTCTTCATCGTGTTCAGAGCCTGATGGAATGGGTTTACAAGAATCGATCAGTGCAATAGACCTTGAGGAAATCCATTGGTTCTTTGTAACCCTGTGATTTAAATCACTGATAGATGTCACTGCTGTTTCCACAGCTGTTTGTATAGCTTTCCAAGCAACATCTGGGTCAACCTCGTTTTCAGAACTACCTAAGTGTGACCTCAGTTGTTCCTGGAACCTACTTTTGGTTTTCTCGCTACTCAATTCAGTTCTAATGGGTCTTTTTACTGAGGCTTTTTTGCGTCCAGTGAGGCGCAAGCAGATGCGTGCCCGTATTAGGGCGTGGTCGGAGTCCAAGCAGGTACTCCAGAATGAGCGACAATCTTCTACCGACCCTCTCCAACGATGACTGATGGCAATATGGTCTATTTGAGTCCATCGTTGGTTTGGTGTAGGGGGTCGCCATGTTAGACGATGTCTCTCCTTATGCTTAAAATTAGTGTTTTCTAAAAATAAACGATTGTCTGAGCACAGTTGCAGCAGACGACCACCATTATCTGTTCGCTGAGCCGTAATACTAAAATACCCACCTAAATGTCTTTCTGTTTGGTTTAAGCTACCTACTTGGAAATTAAATTCACCTGCTACGGGCACTATGTATGAGTGTTTAGCTTTCTGAAGGAGTTCAGATAGCTTTCTGTAAAATTCATATTTCACTTCATCCGAGCTGCAGTCAGTGGAAACGTAGACAGAAACGACAAAAAGGCAACCACGTGTGTCCCTATCCTTCCGAGTTCTTACAGAGCCGTTCAGCCGAATAGCCCATAGACGACTGTTAACAGTGATCCACTAATAGTGGTTGTTCCGCCCTCGTACTTAGTGCTATGTCTACTCCTGCCAGTCTACGAGAATTTGCCGTTGGGTTGCTAGATAAACGCGGGGTGTATCTCGTTGGCTCTCCGTTTTGCCGAGGTAAGGTCAAGTGAATGACCACACTAGGATCCTGTATGCGTGTTTCAGAGACAGCATACATCAGTGGTACGAGATTCTAGGGCCTTGGCTAAGGGATACCTACTTTCTGATTTGACATAAGATATGTAAATTGTAAGCTCCAATATGTAGTTTGGAGTGAGGTTTCAGTAGACCTGGGACAATATTTTGCGCACTAGAATCGTTGGCTGTGGTGACACTTGAGGGGGAAGCCGAACGAGGAAGTTTAAAGGTGAAAGTCGATGTAGGAGGAATAATAGGAATTGAAGAGGGAGGTTGATTATGAATACAGTGGTCTTGAGTGCTGTTAGATGTATGAGGACGGTTATCACTTCCCGGTTGCCCACACCGTGGAAGGGTTGTTCTGGAGGTACCTGAAAAGGAAATTGGATTAGAGGTAGTCTTAGTGACCTGAGAGCGTGACCGCAGTGCCCAAGGGACAACTGCTTGAGGTCGGTCACACACGACTTTTTTATGGGTAATTTTTGTGTTAGCTCCGTACTTTTTGGGACCTTACCGCCGGAGACGGATATCCGTGGGATAAGGCGAAGTGTGCATTTTTAGGGTCGACCTTTTCTAATCCCACCCCTCCTTGTGGGAAGGCAGCATCGCTGTCATGCTGGTTGTCTGAAAGAAACACCTTGCTGCTGTCACACCTCTGTACAGTCAGCAGTACGACTTCGCCTTCGGACCTTGGGTTTGCTGCTTTTAGTCTTACCGCTCATCAACTGACCTGTCTGACATGGTAGGACCTTGAGGAACAGTTGTTCCAGCCAGTATAGCTCGGTTGCTTCATCACGATAGGCAAGCCCGACCACCACGTCAAGGTAGTAACAACGGTCGGGAGTTAGATTGTACAGAAATTGCAAAACCAAATATCTTAGTTTCTCATTTGACATAGGTTTAGTTAAAAGATGAGGAGAAAATATATTAGTCTACGTTATTCGAAATAGGTTGGGCAAATGTATCCGTGCCATTGTAATAGATTTTCAGCCGTGTTAATATTCAGTGACTAAATGTGTGCTAATTAGAGGTATTCCCTACATTAGCGATGACTATATCACGTTGGAAGCCCTGATTTCTGTCCGATCACTAAGGTTAAGGAGCTGTATCTGAGTTTTTAATGCGTCCGACTGGTTCGAACTCCGTCCTACCTATTTCGGCATATTCAACTGGGTAGCATCATCATTCCTGTGTGTCTCAGAATCAAGTTTCCGAATCCGCACCTAACTGATGAGTTAATAATAGAAACTTAAGATGCTGACCAAGCAAAGATTTTGGTCGAATGAAATGGTAACTGTCATACAGCATTAGCTTATGTGGCTATATAAAATGTTTAGAGTCATTAGTTGAAAATCTTAACGTACATTACTGAAATTATTAACAATGATGAGGATGCTTTTACGTCAGATATTTTACGTACTACTTTCATCTGAGTGTATCTGAGTCATGGGTGTTGATCTGGATATTACTACTCAAAAAAATTGGCGAAATAGGTTTTTTATTTGATGAGTTACTTTGTAGCACCAACTTTTTCTAGTCACACTTTTTGTTTGTTCCAGGAGTCTCCTACCAAAAATTATTTGATAGTTTAGTTAATAACCTAAAGTTTGGGATATGAGGTTAGTTCGTAAAGTTGCAATGTGTTATGGTACATAATTTTATTGAGATAAAACCCATTAACGTCTCACGACTTCTCGGATAGTGACTGCTCTATTCTAAAATTATACCAGAAGTACACCAGAATAAAAATTACTCCCTAGTTTCTTTGAGTTGTTCTTTTTCAACCATCCATATAGTCATTCATTTCTATTTCCATCACATCATCCTCGTCCACACAGCACATCACGATATCCCATTCTCAATAAGTTTTTCAAACTAAAGTGAGGGCTTTCGTTGCTGTCGAAACGTTTTAAGTATTCCTTTTGTAATTTTAGTACTATTTTATTATTGGTATCTAGAACATACTTTATTGCCTAAGCAACTTTTTCGTCCTACAGGTTTTTACAACAAAGCTGTTCTCTGGGAAGCGAGTCTTGTCCACTTGCTCATGTGTTAGATCCGTGTAGACTGCCACAATGTACTTACTATGAATCCGGAAAGTGCGGACGCCTTCACTGTCCTTATTTGCATGTAAGGCACCCTCCAAAGACAGCTGTATGTTCGGATTTCTCTCGTGGTCGTTGCCCGCTAGGTCGCTTGGTATGTTCATTTTCCAGTAAAGCAGAAACATCAATCTTAACGGACTAATATGAATTTATGTATTTCGTATATTGTATTCAGCTACTTACATCTTCGAAGCAATAATATTACTTACTGAAAAAATGCATCTGTGTTGACATTGCATTAACAAATTTAGGTCGCTGGAAACAAAAGCGGAGTGAATGGAGTTGTTCATGCCTTGAACTGTTTGTAGGTACTGTATAGTGAAGTTATTCCCATTTAGGCATTAAAAACACAAAGTTCAACGAAGGTATCTCTTTCCAACGAATTTACTATCAAGCTATACAATCGTACATATATATACCACCTGATGCCTTTTCCGTCCTGGAGGAAACTGTTATAATTTGTTCCATATAGCCGACTTCACATGGTTCGTAAAATAGTTCGTTTTGAACATCGAAACAAGCTTTCTCTACAGATATTGTTATAAAAGACTTCTTGGTTGATTTTTGTCTTACTTCCGAGAAGTGTAAATGGAGCGTTGGAGCTATGTTCTCCTACCTTTGTTTGTCGAAATGTTCACGCCAAAACAATAATTGTTTCAAAGTCGAATGAGTCTGTCACGACGTGGAAATTGAAAGTATTCATTTCCACCTGCTTGACAAGAGCCCACCATTATTTACAATTATGAGAGCAAACTAATTTCATTTTCTTCAGATATTTTACTGAATATTCTTATGTTCCTTTATGACTAACATTACAGTAATAGTAGCTAAAAATACCTTACTGAGTCTTTCTATCAAGTTCAAAAGTGTTTCCCACAATTTATGTATATTTCATTAGACAATATGTTTTTTGTATCGTTTTAGTGTATTAAGCGCCATATATGGGTGCAAAAGTCATTTTTGAACAAGTCTGGTCATCAGAAATTATCCAAATTAACAACTGTTTCTAAAAACGCCTGTAGAACTTTAATTACTAAACTAGAAGATACTTGTGATCATAATGATTTTGGTCCTGTTGCTGCCCCAGCTGGTTCACTACGCAACGTATATCCTCCTCCGGAATTCATTCCTCTGATCTCAGACAATGACGATTCCATGACAGGTGGAGATGCGGATTGTTCCTGAACTATTGCTACCAAACTTTCGTTTGTTTGCATTTGATAATATACATAATTATGTGATTTTAGTACCTGTACGCAGGTTGTGTAATTCCAGATTCCAGATTATTTTGAAACAGCTTTTCTCATATTTTTTATTAGGTATTTTATGTTTGTACGCATATGTTCTACTTGCATCTCCTCAAGGTCACTCACTAGTGACACAGTATATGCTACTGTCATTAAATCTCGTCGTTTTGGAAAGTTTATCAGTTTTTATTAAATGCATTTCTTGCCATTCATAATAATAATTATAATAAAATTTTATTGGTATAATCAAGATGTATATGGTTTTTGTAGTAAAATCCATGGTAACATAGACACAAGGGATGAACACGAACAAAACATTATTTAAAGAATAATCTGAACTGATAGATATCAATTCACTCTTTAGTATTTAGAAAAGGAGGAAATGAGTCTTTTGGTGGTTCGATGTCGAATGGTCAGTATACCCAGTTTTGTTACGTTAAAGTTAGAAGTGTTCAGATTTTGTTGTTAGAAATCGCTGTCTGAACAAATGTATTACGTCTGAAGGGGACAATATAAGAAATGTCATTTTTCGTCATAGTAAGATACAGAGACCGCTGACGGAGTATTCTTATGTGTTTTTACTACCAACCCTACTGTGATAATCATTAAAAACACTTCTGACTGAGCCTATCCATTATGTTGAGAAATAACTGTTATAACTTTTTATCTTACATCAGATAAAATATTTTGTTGTGCTTAAAGAACCTAATTTTTCAATCAAGATATAGATGCACATCGATTAATAAAAGTAACATTAACTTGGGCATTTATCAGTTTTAACAGTAACAGTTGGTTCGTTGAGTCACTTGTGCACAATTTTCCAATCGTGATCAGAAATCATTTTACTTGCCACAGTGCGTAATACCGATCTTAGATTTGCAGCTGTTAGCTATTGTTCAGTGCATTGAGATCCTCAAAATATCAGAATTCATACCTTAGTGATCTCTGGATTCCACTGCTGACCACAAACGAAATATATGGAAGAAAACTAGGTGGTTCAGATTCTACCAGAGTACCCAACATTATTTTTTCGAACTGCGACTGTTCTTTAGGACCGGTATGTTAATTTATTGCTAAGATTTAAAGTACAAACATGAATACTCGGGTTACGTGTAAGTTCCATTGCAGAAACGAATTGAGCATAAAACTCGATGAAACCCAAAATTATTACTACTTCCTGTTTTAATCATTACTCATTAAAAAAGAAAACAGTCCGATAAAATATTCGTGTTTTAGTACGGACAATCGATAAAGTGTAAATACTGAGTAATTCTTACATAGACCTGGAAACCGTGTCAATGACTAAGTGGTGTTAGATATAGTTTGGTCAAAAAACATTAACAATAAAAAGATATTATCAATTATCAGTTTAGGGGTTGCGGAGATTGTTAAGTTTTTGATTATTAGTTGAAATATCCTTAGTTTGTATTTTTAGTAAAACAAAAGGCATTCTTCAGCATTCGTATGCCCTACAGGAAGAAAACGTATATAGGAACAGGTAAATAAAGTATTGGTATAACTACAATAAAAAGACTATATATCTTACTTCTTGATAACTAATTATGTGTAATCACATTTCTATTCAATAACTATCTCAATCCTAAACATCAGTGAAAAGATTCAAACAGCCAACATACATACACTGTTATATATTTGCATCGGTTGTGAATAGACAACAATCAACTGGTTGGTACTCGCGTTATATTCCTTAGTGTTTGAATAAATCCTACCTATGTCAGATAATTTGAATTGTTAAACGAACTAGGAATCCCTGAAATAGCGCAATTTAAGCCAGACAGAATTGGGTGAGCACAAACAAACGTATTGTATTTAGAATTCGAAATCAGACAAACCGCGTACAAAGAAATCATTCATTCATGCAAACACTACAACCGACAGAGCTGAAATTGGAATCTAAGTTCCTGTAATCGACTAACCGTCTTCTCCTTAGGTTAATTGTATGTCTGTCACTGTTTATTGAGTACAGACTCTGTATGATCTATAATATGCTCATTAGTATTAAAATTAACAATCGAAATTGGAACAGACTCACCTGGGTACTGCCTATATATACAATCACCATGTCGGTTGTGTAGTGAAACCACTAATATCTAGAATTTGAATCATAGACTTTGCCATTCTATTTATTTATTTGAACACATGAATATTGGTGCAAGAGAGCGCCAATATATATGCGCCACACAAAACAATGAAAATTCGAGGAGAAGTAGGAAAAAAACTAAGGAGCGCAAAAGTAAAAGAGAACAATAACGAAGAGATTGGTGTAAGGTAGTATGGCAGTAACGAGGGAACGAAAAGGTACAATCAGAAGAAATCTTTCAGGTAAGGGAGACACAGCCACTTTTTATGAAGAAAGTAAAAGAAGGTTACAGCAGGATCGCCACTGGCTTCTATTCTGAGCCATATCTGATAACGTCTCTAGTCACTGTGTAGCACCATCTCTCAGACCCCAACCAGGGAGTCGTGAAGGACCAACACAAACCAGTCCTTTGCAGATTTCTTTCATGCCACGACACCATGTCATATACTGACCACCTCTCCGCTTCTTCCAACCAGTCCCAGAGTCGGCAAATAATGCAGGACGTGGAGTTCTCTGGGACGAAACTCGTAGAACATTTCCAAGCCACCGAAGTTGGTGTTTCAAGATGGTGACACCAATTGAATTATCATCTCTGTGCCCGAACACACGATGCCGAACCTCTGCATTACTGACATGGTGTTGCCACTGGATGTCAGCAATCCTTCGGAGACAGCGATGATCGAACACAGAGAGTCGTCTAACATCCTCAACTCGGAGGCCAGGTTTCACAAGCATAGAGCAGAACTGCTCTCACCGACGCGTTGTAGATCCGACCTTTGACAGCCAGACTAACATCACGAAGGCGCCAAAGGTGGCCCAGATTGGCATAAGCCGCTCTGGCTTTCACTATTCGTGCATTGATCTCATCACTCACACCCCCAACAGCACTTATGCAGCTACCTAGATACACGAACTTCTCGACTCCGTCTATCTGCTCACCATCCAGGGTGAGTACAGGATTGGAATCCTGCCAGTCTTGTAGAAGTACTTTGCACTTCGAAGATGCAAAGCACATACCATACCTACGGACACTGATTGCCAACTGATTAAGTGCGGATTGCATGGCTTGGGCATTATCGCACAGTAAGACAATATCGTCCGCATACTCAAGGTCGAGAAGTCTTTCTCCAGGCAACAGATCTACACCACCATTACTTACATCCATCCGAGCTATTTTCAGAATGTCATCGATGGCAAAGTTGAGGAGGAATGGTGAGATTGGGCAACCCTGCCTAACCCCACTGCTCGAATGGAACAATGGAGAGAGGTGGTTGTATGCCCTCACTCTGCCTGAGATGTTTTTATACAGGGCTTTTAGGATGTTAATAAACTTCTCAGGCACACCCTTCTTCAATAGACGATCCCAGAGAACAGTCCTATCCAACGAATCGAAGGCAGTCCTGATGTCAAGAAACACTATGATTGTTGGCCTTTGATAATTATGGCGGTGTTCTAACATTTGGCGGAGGGTGAAGATATGATCGATACATCCTCGACCAGAACGAAACCCAGCCTGCTCTTTGCGAGTCAATCTTTCTCAGGTTTTGAACAACTTACGAAGTATGACGGAAGCCAATGGCTTGGACGCAATCGGAAGTAGACTTATCCCCCGATAGTTGCTACAGGAACGACTTGAACCCTTTTTAAATATAGGGACAACTGTCGACTCATTCCATGACGTTGGTACACTCTCTAACTCCCAGACCTTTGTAAACAACGTCGTCAATTCCTTAGTCAAAATGTCACCACCATCTTTAAAAAGAGCCGGAGGTAAGTCATCTGGGCCAGGTGATTTGTAACGCTTCAGGAGTTGGAGTTCCTTGCTGACTTCCTACTCATTTGGTGGATCAGTCGTCACCGGCCATGGAGGGAAGGACAGTCTGACCGATGTTGCCGGAGCAGCAGGCCAGTTGAACTGCCCTTCGAAAAATTCTGCCCATCGTCCAAGACGTCGATGGATGTTAGTGATTGGCATCTCGTCATCCTCACAGATTGTTTCACTCACACCAGACTTCTTGTTGCCAGTGGCTCGGATGAGCTGGAAGAACTCCCGTTAGTTACCAGATGCAGCTGCTGCTTCTAGCTCGTTAGCACGCTTCGACCACCAGGCTTCTCGGTCCTTACGCAAGCTTTGCCCAATTTCCTTACGTAACATCCTTCGTTTGTGGTTAAACTCACGGTCACCCGGAGTATACCGACGGGCTTCAATGAGTTGTAAGGAACCAGAAGAAACCCAGTGCTTAAAAGCGGGACGTTTCGCAAACCCACAACTGACTGTTCCCGCCATTTTCATGGCGTCGTGCAATTGCAACCAATGCTCATCTATACTTTTCGGTGGAGTGGTAGCTAGCCTAGAGGCTAGCTCGGTTCGATACTTACTTGCAACAGAAGTTGCAACCAGCTTGCTAACATCAATCCGTTGATGGCGGTCACTTCGTTGGCCACTGAAAAGCAAGGTAAGATTGGCGCAGACCAGGGCGTAATCAGAGTCCAGATAAGTGCTCCAAAATGAGCGACAGTCTTGTACACAACCACGTCAGAGGTAGCTGATCGCGATGTGATCAATCTGAGTCCAGGTTTGAGATGCAGAGGGAGGACGCCAGGTGGCACATCGGCGATGACTGCGCCGGAAGTTAGTGCTAACCAGAAACAGGTTGTGGTTTGTGCACAGTTGCAGTAGACGGTCCCCGTTATCTGACCTGCGACCAACAAGTCCCCATCGGCCACCTAAACGACTCTCTTCTGTGCCTAAACGCCCGACCTGAGCATTCAAGTCTCCGGCTAGTACTATAATATCTGTCGAACACACTTTCTGGAGAAGAACAGATAACTGGTGGTAAAATACATCCTTCATTGCATCCGGGCTGCAATCTGTCGGGGCATAGGCGGAGATGACGAGAAGACATTGTTTGTCACGTTGATTTCTTCTCACTTTGATGGAACTCTCTAATCTAACAGCACATAACCGACTGTTAATGGGGATCCAATCGATTAGTGCTGCCTCAGCTCTAGCGCTTAGTGCGACACCAACGCCAGCAAGACCAGACG